GAGCCACATCCCCAATGCTAGTTTGTATTTTATTTAGAGACAAGGTCTCACTGAGTTACTTAGATCCTAACTTTTGCTTCTGACTTTGAATTCATGATCCTCCTGCCTTAGCTTCCCCAGTAACTGGGATTACAATTGTGTGCCACCACACCTGGCCATTTTATAGTATTCCATTGTATGAGTATATAACAATTAGTGACCCATTTTACTTTAGATGGAAAAGTTTTATCCAGCAATACTTATGTGAATTTTTCCTTCAGAGATATTCCATAAGTGTGCAAATACATATGAGAAAGAATAATATATTTTGAATTGTGACAACGTGAAAGCAACCCAAATTTCTAGTAACAGAAAATTCATCTTGATTAGATGTGTGTTGGGGGTGTAGTAGCAGGGAAAACACATTCCTTAAGTTGATATTACTCAGATAAAATAAATCCAGCACTTTGAGAAGTTAAGTAAAAGATATCTAAAGTTCAACTTTTTCAAAAAGTCAATTTTTAAGTAAAGAGGTCATTTTGTTTATAAAGATATTAGAAAAAAATAAAGATAGCAGGACAAGAATAACCAGCACTTTCTATTGAGTATACTTCTAAAATATAGGTAATATTCATCTACCTGCTTTTGTATACATTACTCCTGCCCAACCCAACCCACCACGATCTCTAACCTGCCATAATATAAGCATGCTAATTTGTGTCACTGCTTCCCCTTTCTTCTTCATGATCCATTTTTCCTATAATAGCCATGGAATACTTTCTCAAATGTAACTTGGATCATGTTACTTATCTATAGCTCTTAAGGCATATAAGGCCCTGTATGAGTTGGTCCCAAGTATTTTAATAGGAATACTATTATCCCATCTCTGACCTCATGTGACCTCAGCCCCCTACTCTATATCTTGCTTACTATGCCCCAAACCCATACATATTCATTGCACTTGCTACTCCTTCTGTCCTAGATAATCAGAAGAAACAGCCTTTTCTATAATTTTTTTATAAATATCTTTTTTAGTTGTAGGTGGACACAATACCTTTATTTATTTATGTGGTGCTGAGGATCGAACTCAGCGACTCATACATGCAAGGCAAGCACTCTACCACTGAGCTACAACCCCAGCCCTTCTATCATTTTTTATCTCAACTCAAAATATCACTTCTTCAGAGTCCCAATGACCCAAACTCAAGTGGTATCCCCTCATTCTCTAAGTGATCACTCAATACATTTTTACTTTCACAGTATGTAAATATTATCTGAAATTGTTTTTATGTACTTATTATCTATTTTCCCCCTTCTGGAATATAAACTCAAAAAAAAAGCAAAAATCCTTGTCTATCTTCACAAATGCCTAAAACTGTGCCTGATTTGGCACTTAATAAACACCTAAAACTGTGCCTGCTAAGCACTTAATAAATATTTAGTGTATGGATAAAAGAGTGTGTGAGTTACTAATGTGCAAAATCACATTCACTTTGATTTCTAAATTTCTTTTCTTTTTTTTTTTTTTTTTGGTACCAGGGATTGAACCCAGTGGCACTTAACCATTTAGCCACATCCTCAGCCTTTTTTGGATTTTATTTAGAGACAAAGTTTCATTGAGTTGCTTAGGGCCTTGCTAAATTGCTGAGGCTGGCTTTGAACTCACGATCCTCCTGTCTCAGCCTCCCAAACCACTGGGATTACAGGTGGGCGCCACTGCACCCAGTCTGATTTCTAAATTTCTAGGATCCACTGGTAATTCCCACATGGAGTCTAACATTATTGGCTATACTCTTTTTTGTTTTACTGTTGGAAGAAGAGGGAAGTTAGAGAAAGCAGAGAAGTTGATAGAGCCACAGGATTGCCTAAATGATGATCTTATTAAGGCTGACAAATATTCAGATCTAATACAGTAACTATTCTAGCCCAGTTTATCATCTGAACTAACACAGACTTATTCAATAAAATTTAGGCCAATTGCTAGTGAAGTCTGTGATTCAATATTTACAACTGCAAAAATATCAAGAGGGACAGTCATGTAACACAAGAGGATAATGGGGTGCTATTCTGGAAGTCAGATATAAATGAAATATATAAATGGAAGTCAGCAACTCAGCAAGGCCCTCTCTCTAAATAAAATTTAAAACTGAGAATGTGGCTCAATGGTAAAGCAGGTTCAATCCCTGGTACCTTTGGTGTGTGACACTGCACCCAGCTAGGGCTTTTTTTTTTTAAAGTTCCTGTATTTCCTAGCTTATGTTAGGTTTTACTTGTGCTTCTGCTTCTGAGAAAACAGATGTACAAAGCATCGGCATGGTTGCAGGAGCAGTGACAGGTATTGTGGCTGGAGCCCTGCTGATTTTCCTCTTGGTGTGGCTGTTAATCCGAAGGAAAGACAAAGAGAGATATGAGGAAGAAGAGAGACCAAATGAAATTCGGTAAGCCTCCCAAGTTCCACTTCCACCAACTTTTATTTCTAGGGCCAGTTCCTTAGTAACTAGTCAAAATAAATATTCCCAGTTTCTTCTGAATCATGACTTTGTTAAAATGATTATTCTGTTAAGGAAAGAAGTTGTGGTCTAGGACAGGTCTGGTTTACCTGGACTTTATTGTGAAACTATCCTCAACAGAGATATAAAAGTTCAACTTTCCATTACTTCTGATTCATTTCCATGTTCAAAGGGCATACAATAAAGGCTGGGCCTACAGGCCATAAAAGGGTTCACATACACAAACTCTATGTCAGGGTAAATGCTATAGAAATCATTTCATGTGGAGACATCCTCCCAGTGTAATAGGATGGATCTCTGGGCCAAATACCAAACCTTTGCCGAGCACTAAGTCTTAAGAAATGAGGAAGTGCTTTGTTCCCTAAATGGCTGCCTTCTGATGGTATTGTTTGAGGTTTAAAACTTGAGGAACTTATTGGGAAACCTCAGGAAGACATAACCATGGTGGAAGCAATGCCAGTACTAAAGTTTATCTTTGCTGTTTTTTCTCTTCAGAGAAGATGCTGAAGCCCCCAAAGCCCGGCTTGTGAAACCTAGCTCCTCTTCCTCAGGTTCTCGGAGCTCACGCTCCGGTTCTTCTTCCACTCGCTCCACAGCAAATAGTGCCTCACGCAGCCAGCGGACACTGTCAACTGAAGCAGCACCCCAGCCTGGGCTGGCCACCCAGGCATACAGCCTAGTGGGGCCAGAAGTGAGAGGCTCTGAACCAAAGAAAGTTCATCATGCCACCCTGACCAAAGCAGAAAACACACCCAGCATGATCCCCAGCCAGAGCAGAGCCTTCCAAACTGTCTGAATTACAGTGGACTTGACTCCCATGCTTTCCTAGGAGTCAGGATCTTAGGACTCTTCTAGTCATTGGAGTTCAGTCACCAGCCACACAACCCACTCAAATTAGATAAGAGGTCATTTAAGTACCAGTGAACATCACATGGAACAGATTCAGATGAGCACTTTACTTATACACTATCAAATGAGCAAAAGAATGTAAGCTGATCATCTCCAAAAAGGCACCTATTGACCTTTAGACCAGAGTTGGGGGGCAGAGGGAAATAGGAATACAAATCTGTCTATTGACCAGGACCTGTGGTGAGGAGGTTGGGGAAAAGTGAAGTGAATGCTCCTAAAACTACTCACCAGGGATGGTTTGTATCAATACTTCAATTTACTATTGTCAAGAAGAAATGAGGTGTTTTTCATAAATTTTCTATGCATTTCTGCAAACCTACTGGATTATTGTGATTATTCAGATAATCTAACAGAACCCACAGCCTTATATTAAACCGATCTGTACCATGTATGGGACTAACCATTCCCAAGAAACTCCAAAAAAAGGAAACATGTCTCTTCTGTTCAACTTACTTTCATATGTCATAAGTTTGGATATTAATTTCAGAAGGAGTTGAAATAGTGGTAGTGAGAGATGGAGAAGAGTGATTGTGTTTCTCCTACTCTTATCTATTGCTATTAATTTTCTTCACACTGAACCCCAAACTAAGAACTAAAAAAGGAGTTCAAAATGTGTGACAAGGGCCTATGGAAAGCTTACCATATTGAGGTTCAGAGGATTGCTGACAAATATCAGAAATATATACTGGAGCAATTCTGAGTTTTTCCCTCAAATCAGATGCCTCTAAGGACTACCCTGCTGGATATCTCCAGAAGACGCAAATATTCATTACAGGTTATTTAACAATGTCCTTAGCAAGAAGTTCTCTAGAGAAAATGATTCAGAGATGTTGAATCTGACATACTATTATAGTTTCTTTGGAGAATATGTGAAACCAGAATTTCAAGACTGATTGGTCTACAAAGAGAGATTAGATCAGTTTTCTCTTAATATGCCAGGAAGTGATATAAAGAAGTTTAGTACTGCACCAAACTTAGAGCTTCCTCTATTTCTTTCATTTTAGAAGGATGTGAATCTGGGACTTTTGATGATTCTAGGCCTTAAATTATCAAAAAGATCAGATTATCAACATTTCCTTATGGCTTTGCAAATGTATGTCATAATCATTCCCTCATGAGAGGCCAAAGCAGAGAGAAATTCAGTATTTTCTCAGTTTCAGCTTCCACAGAAGCCTAGCTCTGGGTTGGAAGAAAAGGGAACTAACACATAGGGAAAATAGTGAGAATGACTAATGCCTGTTAACCTTTCAGTTGTCAGCATCTTGGAAAGAATTAGCAGAAAGGATTCACCAGGAAAGCCATTGAAATAATTGGTGCATGGAAGAAGAAAGGTTATCTGACAAATATAAAGTAGTAGCCTCCAATATAATAAAATGTCTTTTTAATTGTTTTGACTATTAGAATACCTGTCCCAAAATGCTGATCCTGAAATAGCCATTCAAAGAACCTAACACAATGTCCACTGTTCACCATTGGTAGAGCTGGAGTAGTAGGCCAGAGAAAGAAAAAATAATGCCAAGTATGGTGATGAAAGTTTTGTCTCTAAAATAGTAATCAGATGCTTCCAAAAGCAAGATGACCTGGGATTTTGTCCATTCTCTAGTTTTACCTTTCTTTTTTTTTTTTTTCTTTCCTCCAGTACTAGCAATTGACTCCAGGGGCAATCTACCATTGACCTACATCCCCAGCCCCTTTTTAAAAAAAAATTTTTTGGGGGGGGACAGGATTTCACTGAGCTGCCCCGGCCTTGAATTTGCAATCCTCCTGCCTGAGCCTCCCCAATAGTTGGGATTATAGGTGTGCACCATTGTACCTGGCTCCTCTGGTTTTTCATTCATTATTTAATTTCACAGTAGTGTTCTCCCATAGTATAAATGCATTTTCTTATAAAGTTCCTAGGAGTTGATTCTTAAGTTTTTGTTGGTGCTAGGGATCTAATTTAGGGCCTCGAACATGCTAAGCAGAAAGTCTTAACCTGAGTTTTGTCTTCCTCAAAAAAAGATAGAAATGAGAAACTTAAAAAGAAACATAAAAAATGCCTGCTGTAAGTTTAAGAGAATTGGCATAGTTGGAATGCTTCTTCTACTTTTTTTTTTTTTGTGGTACTGTAGATTGAACCCAGGGCCTTGTGCATGCAAGGCAAGCACTCTACCAACTGAGCTATATCCCCAGCCCCCTTCTACTGCCTCTTATCTCATTGTAAGATATAAAAAATCCTTTACTCTGAATACCTCCCCCTCCCTTTTTTCTTTTCTTGAAGGGTGGTATCCTGGCAACATCTCTTCTACTATGTAATTCTGAGAATTCTCATTCCTAGAGTACCTGAGCCAAACAAGTACACTGTGGAGGCTGCAGCTGTGTCATCACTAGCAATTTGCTCTCATTATTGACTACCTTTGAACCTAAAGCTTCCTGCCCGTGTCACTGAAAGCAGGAATCAATTCCCTTTGCATGAAAAGGTTTAAATCACTTAAACAATGTTTGTTTTCAGAAGGCTAAAATACCACTGAATATCCAGTTTTTTTGAAAATCTATTCACAATGGAAATGTACAACAAATACACAAAAGAGAGTATACAAAGAGTTTAGAGATTCTAGGAAATCAAAGATCTGAGAGAAAAGGTGCTGAAGTCTGGCAATGCTTCTCTTTGAGTCCAGCATTTGGGTTCAGATAATATAGGCTCTGGGCTTGGGATAAAGTTAGAACCACTACTGGTTCCAAACCATATTCCATTGACTTTGCAAATCAAATAAATTGATTCTTAAATATGAAAACAAAAACAGGATAAAAATAACTAAATGGTAGAAATAAATGTTGTAGAAAGAAAACACAGATGGAATGATGTGGATGTTTAGAGAATAACCATTTCTATAAAATATGTAAACCAAACTTTAATTTGTAAGATAATGAATTGATGTCTTTGTTGTTACACTGTATAAAAACAGTTTCAGAATGACTGCTCCAAAAAGACATATATAATTTTGCTTCTTTTCTGGTGTTAAGCTGTTTGTTTCAATTTTAATTTCTAAGTTGCCTTGTAATTGGATTGTTTGAGCATCATAAAAACCAAATATTTATTATAGATGCATCTGTATCAGCAATTAAAAAATAAATAAGTAAAAGTGATGCTGTAGGAAAGGCTGAAGCTCATATAACCAGCCCTGGAAATTTGTTTATCAGCTTGCTGCCAACAGAACAGAAGAACTCAGACTGAATATGGTCTATTATTTATTGATTTCAGTCACAAATACATCAAGTACTTTTTCTCACAAGGAAGTAGTACAGAGAATTGCTTTATCAAAATCAATAAGCAAAACTTAATAAACAAGTAATTTTATAAATTGGAGACTGAACCCAGGGGCGCTTTGCCACTGTATATCCTCAGTATTTTTTGGAGACACTAAGTTGTTGAGGGTCTCTGTAAAATGCTGAGGCTGGCCTCAAACTTGCAATTTCCTCCCTCAGCCTCCTTACCGGTGTGCATCACAGCACCAAAACCACAAAAAAAGTATTTTGTGCCAAGGTAACATATTAACAAGTAACACTAAGAAATTAAAATAAACCTGAAAAGAGAAGTATATACAAAGATGTTCACAAAAATCTGAAAACAAACTTCAGAGTGTAAGCCCAAAATGATGGTGCAGACCTCAACAGATTCAGGAAGTTGCTTGTTGTTCTTTGGGGACTCTAGGGACCCATTTTCTGGTGAAAATGGCCATCGTTTACAGAAGAGGTTTTGGTTTTATAGGGTACAATTAGGATAGTTTCATCATTGGAACTTGTGGGTGTACCATTAGGAAAGTCAGGGGCTAGTTAAGTAGGTTAAAAATTTTAACTCGGAAGGGCAGCTATAAAAGGTTGAGATTCATTGTTACTTAGAGAGAGAGGAGATTGATCGCCTCCTTCCTTCAGGGCCCATAGTTCAGTATTTACTGTGTGTCCTTTTAGGACTAATTTGCAATGGGGGGAGGTCTAAGTCCAGAGCCCAACATTCAGTATTTGCCTCCTTCCTTCAAGGCCCATTGGTAAAGGATTTACTGGAAGGTTAATGCTTGGCTAGTTTCCCCTCCCTCCTCCCGAGCTGTATTATCTCTCTGCTTTTCTTTGGGGCTGTTTTGTAGGATTATTATTTTTCATAACTCTTCATAGAGGTCCATCAATAAAATAATAGCAATAATAGTAATTATCACATATTAAAACAAATGGGCTTTTTTTTTTTTACTATGGATTGAACCCCGGGTTTGCTTGACCCCTGAGCTACATCCTCAGCCCTTTTAAATTTTAGACAGGGTTTTGCTAAATTGCTGAGGCTGCTTCCTGAGTTGCTGGGAAGACAGGTAAGCACCACCATGTCTGCTCATGAACTGAGAAATTTTCATGTGTCAGAAACCATACTAAGTATATTACATATTTTTTTCTCAACTTCAAACTCACTTCAGCCCTATGAGAAGATGTTTGCATTATTATCTCATAAAGGAGAAAACCAAGGCTTGGAGAGGTTAAGTCAGTAGCAGAAAGCTAGGATTTAAACCCAGTCATTATGTTAGTATGTTCCATCAGAACTGTAAGATCCTGATTAATGACCATTCTGGTTCCTGAAATCCTCACACCTTTATCCTCAGCTATGAGTTTTCCCTTCCCTTTGCTTTCTTTCTTGCCATAGAGCTTTTCACCATATATGGGACATAGATAGCTCATTTACACAGTAAGTCCAAATTGTTTAAAAAAATGCCTTTTTTTGCAAATTAGGACAAAGTTTTCAACTTTATAATTGTATATGATGTTTTTATATGATAAAATAACAATGGGCTTAGATCATATAATGCATAATAATACTTGTTAAATGTTAAGTACAGGATGCTGAATACAGCAAGGTTAAGAATTTTGTCAGGTTTTCTGAGAGGCAAAAAGACAAGCTGCATTAAGAGGCCAAATTAATAGAGTTAATTTTCCAAAGATAATAAGGGCATGTCAATTTATCAAATATTTAGAATTTAAATACTTCAGGTACCCCATACTTAAAGCAATCACGTTTATAATTCTTTAGGGCAGATTTTTCCTCCCCTTTCCCTCCCCAGTACTGAGGATTGAACCCAGAGCTGCTCTACCACGGACCTACATCCCCAGCAATTTTTTATTGTTTGAGACAGGGTCTTGCTAAGTTGTCCAGGCTAGTCTTGAACTTGAGACCCTCCTCTCTTAGCCTCTTGAACAGTGGGGATTACATGTCCAGCTATTCCCTCTTGTTTTTTATTTTATTTTTTTGTCATGCTGGAGATTGAATCCAGGGCCTTTCATGTTAGGCAAGTACTCTACTACTGATCTACATCCCAGCCCTCTTGTTTTTGTACGTCTCATTTTTCTCATCATTCTTGAATAGAAAAGTTATAAAAAAGGAAAACTCAATTAGTTTTGCTACTTATAAGCAGATCTGTTGACTGTTTCAATTAATAAAAGAATAAAGTGCACTAATTAAAATATAATTTATATAGTTCCTCCTCTTTACAGTGCAGCGGTTACACAAGATATTTTAAAAGGAGTTTAAATTTAATAAAGTAGAAAATAATTTAGCCTAAGAGTTAAGAGTATAAGCTTTGGAATAAAATAAATCTGATTTTGAAAAATTCAGATTTAGGTAGAAAAAATTATTTGATCGATATGGGCCTCAATTCCTTTATTTAAAATGGAGATAATATGGGGCTGGGGATATACCTCAGTTGGCAAAGTGCTTGCTTCATATGCACAAGGCCCTGGGTTCAATCCCCAGCACCCTCCCCCCCCACACACACACACAAAAAAAAATGGAGATAATAAAACCTGCCTAAAATAGTTGTTTTGAGGATTGCATGCATGCTGTACATAAGCATGTAATAAAATAGCAATGGCAGCTGGGTGCTACTGCACATGTCTGTAATTCCAGCAACTCAGGAGGCTGAGGAAGG